AGCCAGTGCTCTTAACCACTGAGCCATCTCTCCAGCCCCTCACTTATTTTTCTCACTTTTTTTTTCTCTTCACATCCTTAAGGAAAGTTGAGCAAACAGCAGCATCTATTTAAAGAGAAACCAACACCTATCGCTCCTTATATTAAAATGAAGGTGTCTGGGTGTAACAGTGTTCCTCAGGTGCAGGGCAGAGATCCGTTTGGGAACCAGTTATTGATGCAGGCCCAGCAGAGTCAGAGAGGACTGTCTTGCTTGACCGAGGGACTTTGCTGCCTCCACTCTGAGTGACCCTGTTTCCTATCTGCCCATCCCCCACCAGGTCCCAGCCGTCGGTTCAAGCGAGTGGTAGAAACCATCCAGGCACAGCTGCTGAGCACTCACGACCAGCCCTCTGTGCAGGCCCTAGCAGGTGGGTGACATCCGGGGTGACCGGGTGCAAACGCTGCTGTCTCTTTGCTTGGCTTGCCCACTTCTTGGACTTTTGGCCAGTGTCTTGCCGAGGCCTCCCCGGCACGGTTGAGAATAGATGTTCCCACAAAAGGCTGGGGTCTCTGAGAAGGGGCTCCTCAGCACCCCCGAGGCTCTTAGAGGACAGTGGCCTCCATGTTGGGAGCAATGGAACATGGTGCCGCAGAGCTGTGGAACTCTGCTCTGTGGGAGATTTCCCAGCCATCCTGGCGTGCCTGGGACTAGGGGCAAGGCATAACCTTTAGGCTAAAACCAGGACAGATAGGATGTATTAGTGGCTCCCTTTACAGGTCCCAAATGTCATTGGAATTGAAGGACATAGTTCTCATCTGGCATCCAGAGGGCAGAGCAGAGGCCAGGCCTCGGGGAGGTGTTATAATTCATCCGGTTTCCATAAGAGAATAACATAAACCGGCTAGGGTTAGCTCAGAGGTAGACTGTTTGCCTAGCAAGGGTCCTGGGTTCAATCCCCAACAGAGAAAAAGACAAGCAAAAGACATGATCTGAGTGGCTTTTTAAGTAATAGGAAACCAGGTATGGAAGTGCTTGCCTGTAATCCCAGCATTCAGGAAACTGAGGCAGGAGGCTTGCCACAAACTCAAGGCCATCCTGAGTGACTGGTTCAAGGCCATTTTGGCCACTTCGTAAAACTGTCTCAAGGCAAACAAATGGGGCTGAGGAGGTAGCTCAGTTTTGGCCAGCATGCACTAATCCCAGGGTTCAATCCTGGCACCATGTAAGTGTGTCACACAGCTGTACCGTCAGGCAGCATTAGAGTCAGGAGGATCAGAAATTCAAAGTCAGCCAGGCGGTGGTGGCACACGCCTTTGATCCCAGCATTCAGGAGGCAGAGGCAGGCGGATCTCTGTGAGTTCAAGACCAGCCTGGCCTACAGAGGGAGTTCCAAGACAGGCAGAACTACACAGAGAAACCTTGTCTTAAAAAACAAAACAAATAAAGAAAGAAAATCAGGACTGGAGAGGTGGCTCAGTGTTTAAGAGCACTGGCTGCTCTTCCAGAGGACCCGGGTTCAATTCCCAGCAACCACATGGCAGCTCACAACTGTCTGTAACTCCAGTTCCAGTGGATCGGACACCCTCATACAGATATACATGCAGGCAAAATACCAATACACATAAATTTTTTAAAAATGAAAGAAAGTCAAAGTCATGCTCAGCTATGTATCAAATTTGAGGCCAGACAGGAATTTATGAGACCCTGTCTTGGAAATAAGCAAAAAAAAAAAAAAAAAAAAAAAAATTTAATTTTTTTTTTTTTTTACTAGCATTATATTTTATGTGCATGGGTGTTTTTGCCTGCATGTGTGTCTGTGCACCGTGTGCATGCTTGGTGTGTGTGGAGGCCAGCAGAGGGCACCAGAGCCCCCAGAAGTCGAGTTACAGAGGGTTGTGCGCTGGAGATTAGATGCAGGTCCTCTGGAAGAGCAGCCAGGGCTCCTAGCCAGGAAGCCATCTCTCCAGCCCAAGAGCTTTTGTTCCCAGACTAGAAGTCCCGGGTCAAGGCAGCGCGACAGATCTTGTGTCTGTCTGGAGCCCATCTCCTCATTCTCGGATGGCCTCTTCTCACTGTTTTTCTCATTATAATATTCTCTCTTTTTTTGTTTGTTTGTTTGTTTGTTTGTTTTGGTTTTTCGAGACAGGGTTTTGCTGTGTAGCTTTGCACCTTTCCTGGAACTCACTTGGTTGCCCAGGCTGGCCTCCAACTCACAGAGATCCACCCGGCTCTACCTCCCGAGTGCTGGGATTAAAGGCGTGCGCCACCACCGCCTGGCCCCTTTTTCCTTTTCTTGAAACAGGTTCTCTTCTATCCCAGACTGGCCGCAAGCTCGGTTTGTAGATACAGATGACCTTGACCTCCCCATCCTCCTGCCTCCGTCCCAGCTGCTGGGATGACAGGCGTGCACCACCACCGGTCCAGCTTTCACTGAGGTCTTTGATAATTTCATGGCACAAAGCCCATATATTAAGGCTCCACCCTAAAAAAAAATCTAATCGTCTCCCAGAGGCCCCCATCGATTTAGGGGTGATGATTTCAGCATGTGAATGATGGGGGACACAACATTTAGCCTGTAGTACCAGGGGTGTCTGTCATAGCAACCAAAGGTACAGAGATGAGAATTCTAAGTGAATGAAGCGTTTACAGAGAAAAGCATGCTCCACTGTAGGATGTAAGAAAGGGGCATGCCAGGTCCGTAAGAGTCCAGAGGAATCAGCCTGACACCCCTCTGTCCCCACCCCTATGGAAGGGATCGAGCGCAGAGAATCCGGCAATGAGTACAGCAGACACTGGAGGACACTAGTAGCTTGACTCTTGACAGGGCTTGTCTTGACCCTGGATTCCTTGGCTGCCGTTAATAAATGACCGCAAGCCAGGAGGTGGCGCACGCCTTTAATCCCAGCACTCGGGAGCAGAGGCAGGCGGATCTCTGTGAGTTGGAGGCCAGCCTGGTCTACAAAGTGAGTTCTAGGACACACAGGATACACAGAGAAACCCTGTCTCGAGGGGGGCAAAAAAAGAAGACCTCAAAGTTGGTCCCTGAAACAATACAGATTTTCCATCCTGCTGTCCTGGAGGTGCAGCCCCCAGGCTGACATCAGGGTGTCTTCCCGAGAGCTGTCCTTTCTTGCTCTGCAGCTCCTTCCTTCACCTGTGGCCACATGCTGCAGAGCCAGGAACACTGCTCTGCCCTTGACATGACTGGTTCATTTAAGGACTTGTGTGACTAAACTAGGTCTACCCAGATAATCCCAGGTAGTCTCCCCACCCACAGGGATTATTCTGAGTCACAAGGCATGATCTCAACGTTTTCACAGGTCCCCAGCTTTATGATGTGAATGCCTGTGGGGAATAGGGTTATTCAGCCTACCACAGCCTCCCTGGGGGTCAATTGGCAGGTCTCACAGGGAGAGCAGGAAGATGCCATTGGCTTCGTGTGGGTGGGGACCAGGGAAGCTGAAAAACCTTGTAACTCACAGAAAACCTCTCACAGCAGAGTTATTCAGGCCCAGGAGGATTAGTTAAATGACTGGTTGGTGCAACAAAATACCTTACAGGGGCAACTTCAGGAAGTGGGTTTTGGCAAGAGAGCTCAACATCTGAAGGTCCTCCTGAGTTAGGTCCCCGTGACCCACGTGATGGAAAGGAGAGCAAACTGGAGCTGCAAAACACACACACACACACACACACACAAGGAAAATGCTGGGCTGTGGTGGCGCACTCAGGAGGCAGAAACAGGCGGATCTCTGTGAGTTCAAGGTCAGCCTGGTCTATAGAGAGAGTTCCAGGACAGCCAGGGCTACACAGAGAAATCGTCTTGAAAAAAAAAAAAAAAAAAAAAAAAAAAAATGGAGGAAAAGGAAAAGGTTTCTTTTGGCCTGCAGTTCCAGGGGACCGTCCATCATGGCAGAGAGGACATGGCGGCCCCGCCCATGGAGTGGTGCAGCTCACACTAGGGTGGGTCTTCCCACATTAGTTATCCTACTCCAGACCATCCTTTACAAGCATGCTCAGAGCCTTGTTTCGTGATGGCTCCAGATCCTGTTAACCTAACCTGTGATCCAGTCACTTGGGAGGCTGAGGCAGGGGGATCAGGTGCTCAAGGTCATCCTCTGCCACAGAGTGAGTTCAGGGCCAACCTGAGCTATGTGGGGGTGGGCTAGAGAGACGACCCAGCCGTTGAGAACACTTGTTGCTCTTGCAGAAGACCCCAGCGCCTACATGATGACTCATAACCATCCAGAACTCCAGTTCTGGGGAGAGCTGATGTTCTCTTCTGACCTCAGTGGACACCAGGCATGCACATGGCCCACATCCATGCAGGAAACCACTCATAAAAGAACACCTAAAGGGGGTGGGTTGGGGGGCAGAGAAATGGCTGAGTACATTGTAAGATAAGCAAGCATGAGAGCCTGAGTTTCATCCCCAGAACCCATGAGGAAAAGCCAAGGGTCTGGGGACTTAGCCCAGGGGTGGAGTGCTTGCCTAGTGAGGCAGGGTCCTGTTCTCAGCTCCCGGGGAGAAAGTGTGGCCAGTACTACAGTGTAGCCCTGTAATCCCAGCACCGAGACACAGGGGAGCCCCTAACCAGTCCAACCAATTGGTAAGCTCCAGGTTCAGCGAAAGACCCAAACTCCCCCAGACGGTGCTCTGAGCTCCACTTGTGGGCTGCAGGATGTGTGTGTCCCCACACAAAATAAATACTTAAAAATGTAACCTTGGAAATAAGATAAACCAAACACAGTGAGCTTTAAGCCCAGTACTCAGACGGCAGAGGCAGGTAGCTCTCTGTACATTCGAGGACAGCCTGGTCTACATAGAGAGTTCTGATGTTGACCTCCATGTACACACAAAATCGTGTACACACACATGCTAGCCCATGTGTACAAAGTGTGGCCTTCCTCAGGTCAGCAGAACCAGAAGGGTCTGAGACCCCCAAGACAATTCACAGCACTGTGAACTCCATTCCCGTAGAATTACCTAGTTGTAGATCAGGGGTACAGCAGATGTCGACCCTGCGGTTGCCTCTGAGAGCTGAGAAGTTCTTGTGGTGGGCTAGCTTGGACCTCGGAAAGCCACAGGGAACCTGTGGGCCCCCTGTAGGCAAAGGTGGGCTTCCCTATAGCAGCTTTCTCTGGGACTTGAAGTCTCACAGATGGTGGATTTGATCTCTGTTATGATTGTTGTTGTTTCTATTACATTTATTTATTTGTGTATGGGGGAGTGGGCATCATGGTGTACATGTGGAGGCCAGAGGACACCTTGGAGTCTCTCTCCTCTTGTGTGGGTCCCAGGGATCAAACTTAGGTCATCAAGCTTGGTGACGTGCGCCTTTACCCACTGAGCCATCCTGCCGGCCAACTTTGGTTTCTTGGGGCTGCTGAGACCAGCGGATAGGTTTCAGCAGCCTGTCAACCCATACAAAACTGCTTCTTCCTTCGCAGACGAGAAGAATGGAGCCCAGACCCGGCCTGCTGGTACCCCACCCCGAAGTCTGCAGCCCCCACCAGGCCGCCCTGACCCTGATCTGAGCAGCTCTCCCCGCCGAGGACCCCCTAAGGACAAGAAGCTCCTGGCCACCAATGGAACCCCTCTACCCTGACCCCAGGGGGCCAGGGAAGGAGGGGCGCCCCCTCCACCCCCCTTCCCTGCCCCCCTACTGTGAATCTGTATATAAGGCCCACGGAGTATGTTGGGGGGGGTACATAAAACTCGGCCTTGCCCTGCAGGGATGGGGCTCCAGGGCCGTGCCCAATGGGGGGAGGTTCTAGGGCAAAACAGGGGGTGGGAGCTGTTTCTATTTATTTATTAATTTATTATTTTATTTATTGATCAATCTCTGCGGGTGGGGTGGGGGAGGGGTGGGAGCTGGTTGGGGGTGGCTTAGCAGATCCGGACAGGGCCCTCTGTCTCTGTGTCATCCCCGGCCCCCACTCCCCTTCCTGGGCCCCCCCTGCTCCCCACCAGGTCCTTCTTCCTTCCCCTACTACGACCTTCTGTACGGATTTGCTCTCCCGGAAGGAATTCTGGTTTCGCGTGATCCTGCCTGCGTCTGTGTCTGATTCCGCCGGCGGCAACAACAACAACAAAATTAATAAATAGCCTTGATCAGGGATAGCCGGCTTGGCCTTCGCCTCTCAATTCCTGGGGTGCTGCTTCTGATCACAGGGACGGGCGGGTCCCAAGATGCTGCCTCTCTGAGGGGTGAGCGCAAGCCCACCCCCTGGCCACGCATCCATCATCTGGCTGTCCCCGCAGCCTCAGGGTCATCCTTGTGTGAGCCCGGCCCGGCGGGGTCTTTCTTCCTCCAGCAACAGTCGGGGGCCTAGTCAGAGCACCTGAGACGTCTGTGTCTTTGGAGACTCAGTGTCAGGCGGCGGCGGGAGGCTGGAGTCCAGTCGGGGCTCTAGCTGCAGGGTGCAGCCACGCAGGGTGGAGAAGTCCACGGCAAAGAAGCCGAACAGAACGAACAGCAGCATGGCCACGGCCCACTCGCAGGCCGCGGAGGCGGATCGCATACGTCGGGAGTACAGGACGATCACTTCACAGCAGTGTCAAGGGCCACGTGCTGAAGCCCCGACGCCCACCTCAGCCGCACTGGCACTTCAGGCCATCTGAGGTGCTCCCCTGCCCTGGCATAACTGGTCACCTGCCTCACGCCCATCCTTTCTCCGGTGCCCTCCAAACCCTGCCCTCTCCGTCTGTTCCTGGTCTGTCCTCGCGTGTGACTCTGACTGGGAATGGAGTACCAGGGCTCCGCACCCACTTTCCAATCCGTGGATCCTTCCTGATCCCAGGATGACTCTCCCGTTGTTTTCCACACAACCCCAAGAAAAACACCGTCCCTGCTCCCTCCGGCTGTATTGCTGCTTGGGGTTTTTCCCCCCTTTTGTTTGGGCTTTTTGGAGACAGGCCTTCATGTAGCCCAGGCTGGCCTTGAACTTGAGATGTAGCTGAAGATGACCCTGAAATTCCAGGCCTGCGGTCCACTTCCCAAATGCTGGGTTTCTTGGGCATGTGCCACCACAACTTACTTATTCAGCACTGGGGTATGAACCTAGAGCCTCCTGCATGCTAGGCAAGCATTCACCCGACTGAGCTACACTACCAGTCCCAGGTTAGGAACTTCTTAAACATGTCCCCGGCCCCGCCAGTCTCAGGCTATGTACAGGTTTCTCCCTATTGCGTGACCCACAGCCTCCTCCACATTAACTCCTTAAAGGAACTGAATCTCCTTGCCCCAAACCTGTTCCTCTTTGTAAGGGACTCCACCCTCCCTTGGACCCAAGTTGACACTAGGGAATTCTCCAATCCCTAGACCAACTGGTCACCTTCTGTCCTGTCTGCTCTACCCACTACCACCACCACACACACACATAGACACACACACACACACATAGACACACACACATATACACATGCACACACACACACACACACACACACACACACACACTGCTTCTTTACCTTGTTTCACTAAACTCCTTAAAACTGTTTTTTGCAAAACAACAACAACAAAAAAAAAAACACCTGTCTTTTGGCCCAGCGGCAGTGCCATACACCTTTAATCCCAGTACTCGGGAGGCAGAGCCAGGCAGATCTCTGTGAATTCTGAGTTCAAGGCCAGCCTGGTCTACAGAGCGAGATCCAAGACAGGCACCAAAACTACACAGAGAAACCTTGTCTCAAAAAACAAAAAAACAAACAAAAACTTTTTTGCTGATGGTGCTGCTTCATGCAGAGGCAGGTGGATCTCTGATCCCTGTGAGTCTGAGGCCTGCCTGGTCTACATAGAGTTCCAGGCCAGCCAGGGCTACATAGTGAGACCCTATCTCAAAAACAAAAACAAACAAAAAGGGGAAAAAACAAAACCTTTTCTGTCAGTTTACCTTCCAAGGTCCAGCCCCGAGTCGCTGTCTTCTATCTACTTAAACATCTTTTCACTAATTTCCTTGTGCATGAGCACTGTGTGGAGATCAGAGGATAAGCCAGGTGAATCCATCTCCTCCCGCCATGAGGGCCCTAGGGATCTAACTCAGACCTTGGAGACAAGTGCCTTTACCTGCTAAGCCGTATTGTCCTTCTGTGCATGCTTTTTGACGTACTTTTCTCATCCACCTGTAAGTTAACCTCCAAACATCCTCCTAAAGTTGCTTGCAAAATACAGTCTTTTGGAGGGAGACTAGATATTGAACCCAGCACCTCCCTAGGCAAGCTCTCTACCACTGAGCTTTATCTTTATCTTCTTGAGATGATCTCAGGATCCTCTTACCTCAGCATTCCTGCTGCTAGCATTACAAGTATTCACTAAGTCTGGCTTCATTCATGGATTTCAAAGCTTCTTAAAAGTGAAAGTTTCTGGATGGGCAGTGGTGGCGCACCCCTTTAATCCCAGCACTTGGGGAGCAGAGGCAGGCGGATCTCTGTGAGTTTGAGGCCAGCCTGCTCTACAGAGTGAGTTCCAGAACAGCCAGAGCTACACAGAGAAACCCTGTCTGGGTGGGTGGGGGGTGGCAGGCAAGGCCTGGAGATATGGTTCAGTGGATAAGAAGAGCATTGGCTGCTCTTGCAGAGGATCTGGGTTTGATTACCAGCAATCCCATGGTGGCTCACAATCATTCATATCTCCAATTCTAGGGGATCCAACACCACCTTCTGACCGATTTGGGCACTAGACCTAAACACGATGCATGTACATATAGGTGCAAAATACTTACACCCTCCAAATGAAATAAATCTAAAAGAAGGAACGGAGGGAGGGGGGGGATGGATGGA